GCTTATTTTTTATTGTTTCCGCCTCGTCATCTCAATGCATACAGAACATTCAAAAGACTGGTAGCTTTGAAGTTGCACACCACCAGTTTCCCTGATTGTACATACGTTAAAAACTGCAATCTGACAAAGATTTTTATCGATCTTCCGTTATTTAATATATGATATAAAATAACCAAAAAATAGTTTCTAAATGTAAAAATTAGTCTATTATTTAATAATGTTATTTATTTTGAACCTTGAAATCGTTATCATTCAAGGTAACTGATGTATCTTATTCCATTAAAATGTGTATCTAATTACGACAAAAATATTAAAGTTACCAAACAGGTATTTAATAAAAAATATTTAGACACAATAGGTTACAAAAAATTCATCTCCATATTCATAAAAATATATTCTGGTAACTAGCGATCGCTTGAGACTCCGTGCGTACGGAATTAAAAAAATAAAAATAATTAGTTTTCTTTGTGTTCTTCCAGACTATGTTTTATATGTATGCCAAATTTCTAAATCAAGTTCTGTGGATACCTTCAAACAATCCATCCATCCATCTAAACATTCGCATTAATATTAGAAAGAGTAATATAAGAAATATTAGTAAGACATGAACCAATTATGTTCTCGTTATCTCGGCAAGAATCGTACTGTTTTATAACCGGAATTGCCGTTTTAAGATAATAATCATAAGGTTACAAAACCTTTTCAAATGGTTTCAGAACCTTTTGGTTTCATCTCAACTGTTAATTAAATTCAATACCTCAGTATAGATAAATGAGAGTCGCGCGGCTTTTATATTTTTAAACCGTGCGATTTCTGGCGTGTCGGTACAAGGACTTAGAGTATTTTTTGCTATTGTGGGTTATATTATTTTGTTCTAATTATCATTAGGGAAAAAATACGTCTATAAAATATGTTGTGGTTATGTGATCTGGTTCATTATTTTCTTATGTTGGTAATTAATACTTTAGTGTAATATTATTTTTCATAAAATATTAATTTATTTACGATTATATTATATGACTTTTGTTATGTAAAATTTCACAGGAGGATTAAATTATTATTATATCCTTTGTAAACAAAGTTATCAGTTAATTTAAGTAGCAATCCGCAAAATATGTAGTGACACCTAGTGACATTTTTAAAAACTTTTAACTCTTTGATCTATACGGTAGATGGCGTTGACTTATAGTTTATTAAAAGTAGACGGTTTAAGCAAAATATAATAGATTTGTTTTCCTTTCGTAATGATTCATGTTAAAATTCTTTTAAGAACCTTTAGCAACTTGCAGTTGGACATGTTGTAGCATAGCATGGAAGACGAAAAAATAAAACGAATGTGCCACCCTCTGTAATTTTTTTTAGCCCCTCGTATCTAGAAAAAATAAAGACGTTAATGTTGGAAAAGTGTAGTTGTAAAATTCACCATAAAAAGCACATCTGAAGGGCTCGTAACGTTTATTAAAATTTGTGTGGCGCCCCTACCGGGCATAAAGTACGCTAACAAATATTGTTGGTTTTTATAATTTTCTAAGAGATGGCGTTAGAAAAACAAAATTACAATGTTATAGTATCTTCTGTTTTTTATATATTAAAAAGCAATATCTTCTTACGTTTTTATCTATTTATTTTGTTTTTAGAAATGCATAGAAGAGAAAATGTTCAGTCAGATTTAGAAGATATTCTCCCTTGATTTTACCTTATTTTATTTCAAACGTTTATTATGTACATGAAATTTTTAATAACATTTTTAAATAAAAAACACTATTCTAATATCATATCGATGCAACAACATCACAGTGCATTGACTTCTTTCATAATAAAATAGTATTTGAACATAAGATATTGCAAGATAAAAATCTTCTGAAGATTCAAGACCACCCATCTGCAAATGCTGGCTATGGGCAACGGTTACTTCGCTGTTCTGGCGAATTAAGGGGGCCTCTTTGCGCCAAAATATGGATAATCTAATACGCACATATACGTCTTATAGCCTGTCTGTCTGTGTGTAACTTTTATTTTTTACAAATATTTTTCTTAAAATAACCACATAACCGAAATGACTTCCCAGAAGTTAAAAACGAATTAACCAAATATAACACGTACATGATAAGCTGTATGCATTGAAGGGTGTTAATTTATGTCGAGGTATTGATAAACAATTGAACCTTAAAGTGTATCTACATATGTGTTTTTGTCATCTTCAAATCCTTCGACTTGTCGAGTACAGCCGAGTATAATATTTTATAGTGAACCTTTGACTTACTTGACTTAAAGTCCTATGTCCCCGTAGTGGGACAGAGGGCGTCCACAGTGGGACGCCAGTTCGCTCTATCTTGGGCTCTGCGTTTGGTCTCGGGCCATGTCAGCCCGATCATTCATGGCGGCAGCTACTAATCGCCGACATGAAGGCAACATTTGTATATATAATATTACTAAAATTAGAGTGTTTGTATACGTATATCCGAAAAAATATTTCGTACACATACGTATATTTGCGTAGCTCATAACAAAAAATTATTTTTTAATTTTTGTCTGTCTGCAAGGCGCGGTTTGTTCCGGGTATTCTTCGAAACTGCTAGACCGATTTTGACTGGAAGGCATAGTATAGGCTTTTTTAGTTCTGTGCCGACAAAGTTGCGGCTAATCGCTAGTTAGAAATAATTTAAATCCATTAGGTTCAAATTTTACCAATCTAAAAATTGCAATAGTAAACAAAAGCGCGATTTTCTTTAGAGAGTGATTGAATTTTTTAAAAGAACTCAATGATTTAATAATTATTATAAAGACAGGCAAAATAGTTATATAAAAAATACGTGTAAAAACTGAAATACGAGAAGTACCTGGAATAAACTTGTTTAGTTTAAATACATATTAATACTCATAATAAAGTTATAAACTCATGTTCTTTAGATTGGATTTGATTTTAAATCAGTTATTTTTTATTTACGATAATTGTATAAATTAAATATATTAAATAATCAACGTTATAAATTAATAATTAAACTAATTCCGAAAATATCTTGTGTTCTTTTTTTTTATCCTACTACGTGTTCTTCCCCCTATGAAAAATAATGAGGCCGTTTTTCCTAATTTATGTAAATATATATAAATATGTATTATTTACTGAGACCTGATTTCGCGCTGTTCGAGGTCAAAAATAAAGATAAAACTACTTTATCTCGAACCAAATTATAAAATTACGTATGAATTCTCATCAAGATCTGTTTTGTAGTTTCGAAATTTATACCTGAACTTTCTTTTGATTTTCATATTTATAAGATTAAAAAAATGAATGAATGGTTTGTTGTAAATAAACGCATATCAGTGTATTTATCATAAAAAAAATAGTTCGCGGTAGCATTAATCTTACTAATATTTATCATACACGTGGCCAATGAATTCAGTCCGAAACAGACAGCGCGCTGTTACACACACGACCGCGCTCGCGCATTACATCGGCCGACTTTATCAATCGCGAACTTCTACCATCACAAATGTTTTATTTAATAACAGTTTAAAGTACACATTTGTTCGTATTATACAAAATACATATAAAATAACTGTGCACGCAATATTTAATGTGTCACTTATGAACAAGCAAAAATTATAACAGTCGACATTTCCGAACGAAACACACCGTCAGTCGTGTTTTGTGCCAGTGTTTTTTGTTTTGTTTTTAATTTTTAATTATTCAAAATTAATTGGGAAATAGAAAAAACCACTAAAAGTGTAATTAAGAGTATATATACAGTGGTGGTGTGTTATGTTTTATTTATTTTAAGTGGGATTTTGGTAGTTATTTACAAAATGGCGAACGCATTGGCAGTGCTGCAGGGTCTCGGACAGAAAGTTCGCGGGAAAGAACACAACGAATGCAGAATACTGCAAATTAATATGCCACCACCTACATCTGTGGATATCGAATTTAAAAATATAACAATGACGGTCAGCGAAGGATTGACTTCTAAAAGTAAGTTTATTATTATTTTTATATGACCAATTTAAAATTTTACAGCGTTTAACATCCAATTTTAACAGAAATAAATTAAGTGCGGACAAGCCCGCGCGATGACGGGAAACACTTTCATTGCAGCATCGCCGTAACATTTTGTAGAATCCTGATTATATTACTCAAATGAGAATAGGTTTTCCCATATTAAAAAGACCGTCCGTCCGTCGGACACACGGACAAACATAAAAAAGTGATAAATTATCGATTTTCGTTATAAGAAATACAAATATATACATCATGTTCAAGAAAAATGATTTTTTCAATGTTATGCATACAGACACTCAAATTTTTATTAATAGTATAAATAGAATGATTATCACGCGCTGGTTTTTTCAGTGTAATTTACCGTTCTTATACATGATTCGCGGTTTAATTTAATTGTAAAAATAACACTATTTTATTGGTACAAAATATCAATACTTAATTGGCCTCCATATTCATTCCATAACGTAAACAAGTTTACTCAAGTCGTTTGAGTCTATTTTGCCATATGTTTACCGCAACTAGTTGAATCTAGTCCTTTGAATTAATAGTCCATATAGGGCATGTTGCGACATCTCACTAAACATGGTCGGGACTGTGATATGTACATTGACGTAAGAAGCTAAAAGAAACGTATTAATGCAAATTAATTAAAGCAAACAATGAAATAAAACACCATTTATAACGTTTTCTTTGTTACTCTAATCAATCTTTTCGAAATATCGACCGAATGTTGAGGACAGGAGTCAAGCACTTGACTTGCAATCTGCAGGTCCTGGGTTCGAATCCCGCCGTGTACCGATGTGTTTTTCTATTTCCGATTTACATATGTACCTATATTTATCCAACGTTCTTACGTTGAAGGAACATTGTGATGCAACCTGCACATATCTGAGAAGAAATTCAAAGATATGTGTGAAGTCAACCAACCCGCATTAGGCCAGCGTGGTTGACTATGGCTTAGTCCCTCGTGACTTTGGGTAGGCTTCGAGCCCCTCAGTGGGAACGTATAGTGAGCTCATGATTATTATTGAAGACAGGACCGGCGTTATTGGATACCTGTACCTGGGCGACCGCCCAGGGTACAGGTATGCGAATTACAGTCTTAAATAACCCTGTTAACTCCCCAAAAAGATATAGTAAAAAAAGGCGCCGTTGAAATCTCGCTCAGGGCGCAAGTTGAGCTAAAACCATTACTGTTTAATGAATTAATGATATATAATAACGCTAAATATTATATCTATATGTTTTCGAACTACGTTTGCTCTGACCTAGAACAGTAAGAAAATATTTTTTTCTATTGCAATTTATAAATGCATAACTGCAGTTGAGAAATTGAAAAATTTCTCAACTGCAGTTTTAATTACTTTACCATTTACATCCGCATTATCATTTATTTTGAATTGATGCCATTAATAAAATTTAATTAGTAAACTGTCGATCCATTTGTTAATCTTTTTAAATGTGTAAATAATTAATAAGGAATCTATTATAGAAGTGTAGGTCATTTGAATCGGGAACATCGTTCAATTGAAAGCAAAATTGCAAAATTGCTGGCTGAAAAAAAAACAAAGAAGACTAAAAACTCTTTCGTTGGACTCATTGGTTTATAGAAATTAAAGTCCATCTTGTATTATTTATAAGTATATAAATTTGTTTAAAAGAAACGTAAAGAGCTCAAGGTTAGTGTTGGCTCAGTGAGATTATAAATGAGAGCACTCTGACTTCTGATTAATCATTGAATACAAAAATATATAAAATAATAGCAATTGACTGGAAAAAAATATAAAGGATTTTATACAACGCATCCCTACTGACTTTGCAAGGTAATTAGAAACGGATAAGGGTTTCGACAGTGGAAAGTCGGAAAAAATAGATGAATGTTTCTTACCTTCAAAATACCTTAACGAATTTTGGTGAAAATTTTGGTGAATAGTTGGGATGAACGTATAGGCTACTTACTAAGGTTTTTTCTAATATCGTGCGGACGAAATCCCTGGCAAAAGCTTGTTACATCATAATAAAAACAACTAGTTGGTGTTTTTCCTATCACTGCGCACTTGGTGAAAGATAAGCACAGCAATAGAGTGCGACTGAGTCATCAAACAATTGATAATGATTTAATGCATAATCTGAATACCGATACGAATTAATTTAATATTTAGTTATTAATTGGCATTATATTATATAATATTTACATTTGTGTTCGAATCCGAGTAATGTTTTTAAAAACTACACATTTATCGTTTAAAATCGTAAACGATCTATTTAATTTTTTCCCCTAATATTTTCGGAATGAAACAAGCAGGGATAGAAGATTTGATCTTCTATCCCTGATTGTTGTCCTCTGTTCTTTATCTATAAGGAAAATAAATCTTTATACTGTGTGTACCCGTGGATGTCCAATGCGTGGAGACTTTATTTAGTAATTCATTTTAAACTATTTAAAGTTATGTACTATAGTAATAATTATTTATAAATTACACTTTAATTCGATTTACGTCAAATAAGGTCAATGTGAATGAATTTTTATTATAATACTTTATGTCATATACATTCTAGATATATATTTTTGTTCGACGTTGGTTTTACACATTTGGTCTTTTCTTTCTTGGAATATTCATATTTATTTTAATATCTTCGTTTGTGGTGTCAAAAGATCGCTGTTATATTTTTAGATTATAAAACGGCTATTGTGTTATTTTTACAAACCAAACATTTAAATATGAAAGTTCATCATTATTCCCTCACTGTTATTGCCCACGATGACATATCATCATTGTGACAAGCTGTCAGGGCAACAACTTTTTCCATCGCATTGTTCTGTATCATTATAGGTACATTTTTGTTTTAAAATTCAAGAGTTCAAGAAAAGAATACGACAGGAGTAACCGTAAAAACGTTTAAAACGGCTTCTTGATATTATGACTTTTGACACTTGAGAAAATATGATTTGCCGAAACTTAACCGTGGGTTTTTGACACCGAAATAAAACATATCGTCATTATCTTCGACAATACGGAGATAGCGATAAATTTTAAACAGAAATTTTGGGCTCAGAAACCCACGGTTAGTCATTGTGTTGGGGCTTATAAGAAATAGTTTTAATTTAATTTTATATTACTAAATATTTTCATTCGGTAGTAAACTCCGTATAAATTGCTAAACCAAACATAGAAAAAAAATAAATGCGTAACGAATGATGCAAATTTATGGTAATTCAACAATGGCCAGTAACCTTGTCATGAAATCGTATTATATTCAACAGATTAAACAAACAACGTGCTTTGCTTTTTATCGATAACGAACGAATAGCTGTTGTATTCCTATGTGTAACTAGCAGTCTTTAAATACTTCGCTAGCGTAGATAAAAATGTAGTTTGTAAGATGCCCGCATTCATCAGCTACCTTCCCGACAAAATCCTGTTAATATTGGTGCAGCCATTCAGGAGTATACACGGAATATACGCGGCCCTTCGAAAGGACAAACAGACTGACAAATCTTTTATACCGGTAGCGAAAGTCAGGTAGACGCCCTTAGCAATCCAAACTCTTAACCACGAATAGGCAAATTACAATTGACATTATTGCTACTACTCAAAAAATCCAAAATATTTCTGATAAATCATTTTTAGATAAAAAAATAAACGACTTCTATATGAGTAATGACTCCTATGTACGAAATTAACATACCTTTACTTACGTTTACTCCGTTAGGTGATGCCCTCGAAGGTCTGTCGCCCTGGCCCTGTAAAGGGCTAGCTACAGGGCGCCCCGAACCCTGAACTTGTTAATACGGCCCTGGAAAATAATATATTTTTGTCCGTCAAAAGCACTTAGACAATCGTTAGTCTAATTACAGTACCTATAACGATCTACAAGATGATTTTCTTGTTGTTCAACGCTTGTTATACTTAATTACCGCAATAGCGTGTAATTTAAATGCAAATTGTCTTTTAAATTTTCTATTACGAGCAATTACCATTTCCATAGTGAGGTTGCATATTGCTCGTCACATTTCCGTGGTACATCATTACTTGTTCTATGTCATCTTGTTTATTGATTCTTCGAGATTTTCTACAATAATTCGTTTAATATCGATAATTCGAAATTCAAACGAATTTATTCGTTTCCGAATTGTTCGTTTCGTTTCGTTATTGTCAATAGCCAGTATCAAATGTTTGTTGAAACGTTGTGTAAAGAAATTCGAATTTATTATTCATGTAAAAAGACGCAATAAGGTTATTCGACGCAGTAGTATATTTTATATATTTTATTTCAAACTAGCTGTAGCTCGCAACTCCGTCCGCGCGGAATTAAAAAACATAATTAGTAGTCTATGTGTTCTAGACTATTTTCTCTATGTGTGCCAAATTTCATCGAGATCTAGACATCCGTCTAAACATTCACATTTATTAGTAAGAGTTATCGCAAATAAAATAATTATTGTCGCGTATATCTTTCTTTGTATCTCTTTATTTAAAGTCAAAAATTTTAAAGTTTAATATTTTAGTCGGGCTTTACTATAACATTATATAGAATTAACTACACTCATACAAAACATATCAAATTTTTAAATCTATAAATATTTAACATTGTTTATCGTATTTGCATTCAAGTCGTTTAACTTCTGGTTCAAACTGACGTACAATTTAAAATGACGTATATTCATTATACAGTTATGCGAACTCTGTAGAAAAACAAATTATAATTTTAGTGCTGCAAACAATTTAAAAACATTAGTTAATAAATAAAATATGAATTAAAAAAAAAAACTGATGCACGTCATGGAAAAGCAGTCATGTAATTTGCTATTTTTGTGATAACGCGTAATAATTTTTACGTTTAAAATTACGTAAAACTTTTTAGAACAAAATAGAAATATTTTAATAAGTAAAGAAAATACTTTGTACCTTTTTAAAGAAATAGCCGCGTGACGTGGAGTTTGTGCATTCAAAGTTTAAAATAAAAAAAGT